CAACCCAAAATCAAAACAGTTTGTGCTGCATGTTTTACTATCTACAGTCGGTATTAGGTACACCTGTACATTCTATTGCAATCCAATAGAACTATTATACCATTTATTTGTTTTTATCAATACAACCTCAGCTAAATCAAGTGCATTAATATACATACGATACATATAGATGGAGAAAATTTAATGTAGAGGTCTGAATTAAATAAAGCTGTTTATATGGCATATTTTAAAGGATAATTCCAGTCATTTATCAGGTATAACACTGTATTCACCAAAGTCATTTCTAAGAACTGGGAACACAGTGACATTGATTGAAGTCTGACTAGGTGAGAAACATAAGCAATCACAAGATTGGACAGGTTGTAAACAAGACAGAAGCTTAGACAGATTATCTGAAGAAACAGAGCACTACACTGATTCAGGAAGAAAACCAAAGTGTTTGCATTAGCTGTGATAACAGCTTTATTCATGCTGTACCATCAGTTGCTCATTTATCAGCTGGTTGGCTACCAGCTGACTACAGTTCATGCAGACATAGACAGTGGACTTCACTGCTGACTACGCCAGTGAAATTTGCCCCACCAAAACCCCAAACTCTTCCTTACGCATCAAGCTTCTGGTTTTGTTGACTTTGACTGTTGACATTTATATGCTTATTAAAGATGGATTAGTTCTGCCAGCAGAGTTCTTGTTGCGGCCCTGATTCTTTGAGAGCTCCCTCAACGAGTCGAGCCTTATCTGCCAAATCTGGCCAGATCCATGACGTGAGGGTCTTTGACTGAAATAATATCAGTCTGTAGATGACAAGGGTTCTCCCAAATAACCACATGGCATCAGTTCCAGTGGTTCTCAAACTTGTTCTGGCAACACCCCAGTGGTTGATAGGGGAACCATTTTAGGTAAATAAAAGGATCTATGTCTCACCTGCAATGATTCTATGCCCCACAGTTTGAGAACCATTGTTATAAACAGAAATAGAGAGAGAGGCTTGGGGAATATTTTTAAAAGCCACACTACATTTAGGCCTCACAATAAATGGTAGTATTTTTTCACAAGTAAGCCACTTTGTAGAGTATGTATTAACTTAATAGTACTAATAACAAAAATCACTAAATGACGAGTTTCAGTGGATTAGTATGTAAGCCTCATATTTTTTTTCACAGGACAAACAGCTTACAAAGCCACAGACATTGACAAACCAGGGTTGAGTGTGGGAGGTGCTTATCTATATGTGCACTGCTTAGCACAATGCTGGGGAAGACATTGGCAGGACTAGAGACATTAGCTAGGCAAAGAAAATGTGGTAGCCTGAACAATGTTGCCGAGGCATAAAACCTCTCACTGAATATAAATGGGAAAACCTGCAAGATAGCTCTGTGGAACAGATCATCTGTCACTGCCAAGTTTGCATAGTCTCAGCAAGTTTCCTGAAAAAAAGCTTTTGTTCATTTCACTGCAAATGCAAAAAACGTGGCACTGCTTGTTCCTGTGAAATTTTACTTTTGAGATTGTAGAGGCAGTAATGTCAAACCTGGGGGAGGCCATTTTTCCAGATGATCCATTGTTTTTCCAATGCGTGTGGAAACGGCCCAAATTATAACAACTGAGAGATTGAGGGGTTCTAGTTAACAACAAGCTTGCATGTCGTTAACTAGCGCTCCTCAGCTGTGATACCCGACACAGAGCCTGCGAGGAGAGCCAAGAACAGGAGAGGGGAGCTTGGCAACGATGAGGAGGAGCCGCTGGCATCCACCCTGCACAGACTTGCAGGAATGTGTATGGGAAACTAACAAACCTTCAACACACAATCATTGGATGATTCTCATCTAATTCACATAAGTAAAAACTAAGGACTTCAGAAACACACTTTTGAACATGTGCCATTCATGCGCACACATACACACACATACTAATGAGGAGTGCATTTGGTTACAGTGCCAACATCATAAAAACTCCCTCACTGTACCCTGCCTGCCTCTTTTCTCACTGTTTCCAAGGAGACTGCAGCACATTGGTATTCTGAAGGGACACTTCATAAGCAATTGTGAGAGAAGGCAAGAGAGAGAGTGAGGAGGAGAGAGAAAGAAAGCATAAAGATAGAGATGGTGCAAGGAGTAAATACATACAAACAGGGGGCAAATTGAAGGAAAAACCTGAGAAAATGAGTGGAGAAACATATCAAATTCAGATGCTTCCATACACATGGTTTGATGAGTATGAACATTTTTAAAATACACAGCAAATCTCCAGATCACAACCCAGTTGAACACCTAGGAAAGATGGTGGACCAACATGTAAGATAATTCATTTATTTGACAGGGATGATACATCGAGGCATTGTTACATTTAAATAAAATGCAACCAGTGCAATGTATATACTGCTAATTTGCACTCTTTGTCCCCGCTAGGCTTTAACTGGTCCAGTGTGTAACATTTAGGAGGCTCTATTGGCAGAAATGTAATATAATATTCATAGGTAGGTTTTCATTAGAGTATAATTACCTAAAAAATAAGAATCTTTTTTTGTTTGTTTTTGTTGGTCATCCCTCAAATCGCATTCTACAAACTTGGCAAAGGGCATTGAGGCTGTTCTGGTAGCTCCTCCATACCACAACACTTCATGTTGCTTTTAGCTTTAATTTGTCACCCATATATATGTGTAGAGAGAAAAAAAGACACTATGTTGTATGTTATGTTGGTTGTGAATATGTTCATTCATACAGACACCATTTATCTTCACCACAGTTTTGTTTCCATGGCAAATTACATAATTATGATATATGTGATTAGACACATCCACATCCATGGGTGTCATGAACGATGCATGTGCTGTATGTTAGTAATCACAGCGCAATGTTGATCCAATATGAAGCCCTGTGATGTTAACAGTCATGACTCATGCAGATGCAAGACAAGAAAAGCTTCCTTACCCATAAACTCGATGCCCAAGTGATCTGTTGTTTCAGGCAGCGGGGAGGAAAGAGGGAGGCAGGGGGAGGGGAGAGAGATAAGGAGAGGAGGAGAGAAAATAAAGTTATTATTAAGACTAGTGTGCGTTAGCATTGTGTCACAGCATATAGCCTGATCATTACTGACTTGTTCTTTCTTGCAAGCTGCTGTATTGCTGTTTTATCCATTGTCACATGGAGTCAGAGGGCACATGCCAGTAATGTTACAAGACATGACAAAAACACACGCTTGTCCTGCTGTATTTGTGAGGACCCACAGTGATGATAATGCATTCCCTAACCATAACCACTGAACACCCATTTCTCAGCTTCTTGCTGCGAGCGATGGAGTTGTTTCCCATGAGAGGTTTCATAAAGTTGATGTCACGTTCTCCCATCCAAAAATCTAGAATTGCCAATATTTGAATTAAAACCTGATGAGGTGAGGTTGTTGGTTCTCATTGTCAGGCCTCTGTCAGTCACATCTGACTAAATCACACCCTCACAGTCCTGTTGGATCACATTCACTGAGGTTTCAAGTGAAAAAACTTTCAGTACATAATAACTAACACTTGTGATAAACAGTGAAGAAAAGTGGCAAAATGTATGCCTCTTTTTAATTCCACGCCTTCATCCCACTTTTCAAAACCTTGTGGCTAGATTACACACAATGCAAGTCAACAGCTGACAGCTGGGTCACAGATTTGGGTGTGTATAAGCGTACGCACAAAAGAACACAAAAAACTGAAGAGACAACGAATAAGCTATGTGTGCATTCTGCTGTGTAAAACAGATTAGGGAAACAAGAGGTTGGAGGTAATTTTGGTTC